GTTCAGCCTGCTGTGGGTGACCCTGCTTGGGCAGGGGGTTGGGCTGGGTGACCCACAGAGGGCCCTTCCAACCCCCAACATTCCGTGATTCTGTGATTCTGTGAAAAAAACTCCTTGTGCTCCTTAGGCATGGGAATTGCGACATAAAGAGAATGCAGCAAACACGAGGGCGAGCTCTGCTGCCCAGCACCGCACAGCACCATCCTGTCCTGCCAAGCCTGTTATCTGCAAGGCTACGCTCCTGCAGAGTCCTTGCAATGTCCTGTCCTTCTGCACGGTCCAGCAAGATACGCAGGGGGTCTAGCGCCGCTTCCAGATAAGCTGCTGTAATCCTTCAGAAGGCAATACAAGCATGGAAAAGAAAACTCGTAATTCTCTTATCAACTACATTCTACTTAAACCGCAGCTTCTACTGCAGAAGATAATTAACTAACAGTCCCAAGTTACGAGTTTCAGTAGCCCTTGAATCACAGAATCACAGAATGGTGGGGGTTGGAAGGGCCCTCTGGGGGTCACCCAGCCCAACCCCCTGCCCAAGCAGGGTCACCCACAGCAGCCTCCACACCCCGGCGGCCAGGCGGGGCGGGAATATCTCCAGAGAAGGAGACTCCCCAGCCCCTCTGGGCAGCCTGGGCCAGGGCTCCGTCACCCTCAGAGGGAAGAAGTTCTTCCTGGGGTTCAGCTGGAGCTTCCTCGGCTTCAGTTTGTGCCCGTTGCCCCTTGTCCTGTCACTGGGCACCACTGGAAAGAGTCTGGCCCCATCCTCCTGACCCCCACCCTGCAGATATTGAGAGGCGTTTCCAAGGTCCCCTCTCAGCCTTCTCTTCTCCAGGCTGAACAAGCCCAGCTCCCTCAGCCTTTCCTCCTAGGACAGATGCTCCAGTCCCCTCATCATCCTCACCACCACAGAAGCCAAGGGTCTGCCATCTAATTAAGATGTCATTTATAAAGTATCGCAAGAATTAAGTTTCAATCCTGAAGTAAACTGCCCGTGCAACCATTTTAAGGCAAAGAAATGTTGCTGGAAAAGTATTTTTAGAAAAAAGGACTGAATTAACTCCTGTAGGAGGAATAACTAGATGAGTTCAGCCCTTCTCTGTGACAAAGGTAAGGCTGGTAATACGTAAAGGCCCTGGTCATTACACTAACCAAAACTGTTCCCTTGGATTCCCCTCATGTATCTGTATCCAAATATTGCTTTTTTTCTTCCGTTAAAATGATAAACTCCCCATGGATCCTATCTGTGCAGCTGACAGAGTAACATGGTCTTGATCCCTAACTGAGGTTCTAAAGCACCACAGTAGTAAAACCAGAAACAACAAATATCTCCTTTCCTGAAATAAATTATTCCCAGTTCTTGTAGGCTTCCGGGAGAGGAGTTCCTCCACCTGGGTCTGGCTCCCGGTGAACCAGCACGGAGGAGTCTCCCTCGTGGGTCAGACTGTTCGCTGTTCCTGCGGTGCATGGCTGCGAGGGGCAGATGGGCAGAAGAATGATGGACATTTCCTTATCTACCTAGGAACGGGATCTGAAAAGCAACAGCAAGTTTCTGAACTGAACTTTAATCAATGAGAAAGGAACAGTGCCTTGAACCCAGGTAGGTGAGGTGCCAGTTAGAGCTTCCTCAGGGTTTTTCAGCTTGACACAAATCTAACGCATGGTAGTAACTACACCATACAACCACAGAATCATAGAATGGGCTGGGTTGGGAGGGACATTTAGAGGTCACCTCCTGCAGCGAGCAGAGACATCTTCAACTGGGTCAGGCTGCTCCGAGCCCCGTCCAGCCTGGCCTGGGATATTTCCAGGGATGGGGCAGCTCCCACCTCGCTGGGCAACCTGGGCCAGGGCCTCACCACTATCACAGGGAAGAATTTCTGCCTTCTACCTCATCTAAATCTCCCCTCTCTCAGCTTGAAGCCATCACCCCTTGTCCCATCACCCCAGGCCCTTGTCCCAGCCCCTCTCCAGCTCTCTCGCAGCCCCTCCAGACCCTGGCAGCTGCTCTAAGGTCTCCCCGCAGCCTTCTCCTCCCTCGCCCTGTGCCCACGCTCATGGGGATGCAGCCCAGGGCACAGGTGGCCTGCTGGGCTGCCAGCGCACTTTGGTGGCTCATGTCCAGCTTCTCACCCCCCAGCACCCCCAAGTCCTTCTCCTCAGGGCTGCTCTCCATCCCTTCACCCCCAGCCTGTGCTGATACCGGGGGTTGCCCCCACCCATGTGCAGGACCTTGCACTTGGCCTGGTTGAACCTCATGAGGTTCCCACAGGCCCACCTCTCCAGCCTGTCCAGGTCCCTCTGGATGCCATCCCATCCTTCTGGTGTGTCAGCTGCCCCACTCAGCTTGGTGTCATCTGCAGACTTGCTGAGGGTGCGCTCGATCTCGCTGCCTAGGTCACTGATGAAACTGTCAAACAGCCCCGGTCCCAGTACGGACCCCTGAGGGACACCACTTGTCACCGGCGTCCATCTGGACATCGAAAGTCCCGAAGCCAACTCTAACACAGCTAAAACAGGAGCTGACAGCTATCAGCAGTGGGTGCAAAGTCCCCCACGCAGCCTCCCAGGCACAAATGCCACAGGCCAGTTCTGCCACCATTAAAGATTTTTCTGAGGAAAACGTACTGAACCTCTGTCAGCCAGAGCAAAAGCACCGAGGCCTCTGGAACGCCAGGACAAGTCCCTGCAGGAGGAAGGTGCGCAAGAGCTACTCAGCTGCCAAGAAATCGAGTTATGAATCAGCTGTTGTCCCAATAACTCCCTCTGCTTTAGGCAGAAAGAGCCAGCTGCTGAGCAGTAAGGCATCTCCAGGCAGACTGGGATCCAGTCAGGTCTGTTTGCTGGGCAGCAGAAAAACACCGAGCCCTTCAGCCCAGGAGGGGGGTTGATGGTAATCTTGCACAGCAGTGTGTAAAATAGTATCATGTCAGCTCGTCTGAAGCATACCAGATCTTAAAGATTAACCATCAAACAGCTGTTTTCAAATGATTTCACCTCCATCTACCCTTCTTTGGGAAGAATTTTGGTGGTGGAAACCTACCCTCCATTCAGAGTAGGTGTCAAACCGAAGAGCGTGCACAGCCCCACGGACATGAGCAGAGAGCTGAGCACCGTCACGACCGCTGCCAGTGCCAGGCCCCACTTCGATTTCACCATGTCGATCTTCCCTGAAAAAACACAAAGCAAACTTTCTGTTACCAAGCGAAAGAAAACGATATTAATAAATAATCAAGGAGAAGGGATCCTCCTCCTGACTTCTTTCAGCACGTAGCCCTGCAACCCAGGAGTAACAGCAGTTCAGTCTCAGTGGCTGAAATGCAGCTCCCAGATCCTCCCAGTCTGTAAGAGGTACTGCAACAAGGATGGGACCGAGGGTAACGTGTGGCTCGCGGCTCCAACTGGTTCCAGTACAGCACTGTTGGGGCATGAGAAAAGGAACTTAATCGTGGCTAGTAAGGTCTAAAACCACCAGCTCAGAGAACGTATTCCATCTGTCTCACAACTGATCAGTCTCTCCAAACTGGAAAAAATGTCGCTACTATGGCATCTGAAACTGCGTAAGGCAGCAAACATCTCAGAAGATATCACAAGGACTAACAGCACGCTGGCCACGAGGCACAGATTCGCAGAAATCAGAGGAACAGGACCAATTCTTCTCTGCATGACAGTTCAGGGTAAAATTTCCACAGCGCCCTTCCTGCTGAAGCAGGAGGGAACTGCAGAGCTATGGACAGGAGTTTTTCTCATCTATAGCCAGGGAACGGGCAGCCCACCACCGACCCCCTACACACATGCAGCTGGCAGGTATACAGGAGCCTTCTTAGCTTGATCTCCCCTCAGGGTTCCCCAGCCCACAAACCTACGTGTGGAGAAGTAGATGTAAGCGAAGAGTATAATGTAGGTGGTGACGAGGGGTATCAGTTCAGCGATGCCGATCTCCTCCTTGAAGTGGACGTGAACGATGTTCTCCTCTCGCAGCGTGCAGTTAGGGCTGGGATGCAGCAGCTTGAGGCGAGAGCGGAGACTGCTGAGGAACCTGAGATGAAAAGCGAGGCGGAGGATGTTCACGCCACACACAACAACCAGCACACAATGCCAAGGAGGAGCTCAGCGGGTACAGATCAAGCAGGAGGAAGCTCTGCAGGTTCACAGAGTTACAAAGCACAGTTCTAGATGGTGGTAGATACAGCAGCAGGCTGTGCTGCCATTCAGCCAGACCTGGACAGGCTGGGGAGTTGGGCAGAGAGGAACCTGATGAAGTTCAACCAGGGCAAATGCAGGGTCCTGCACCTGGGGAGGAACAACCCCAGGCACCAGTCCAGGCTGGGGCTGACCTGCTGGAGAGCAGCTCTGTGGAGAGGGACTGGGAGTGCTGGGGGACAACAGGGTGACCATGAGCCAGCAGCGTGCCCTGGCTGCCCAGAAGGCCAATGGTCTCCTGGGGTGCATTCAGAGGAGTGTGGGCAGCAGGGCGAGGGAGGGTCTCCTCCCCCTCTGCTCTGCCCCACTGAGGCCCCATCTGCAGTGCTGTTAAATATCTGCAGGGTGGGGGTCAGGAGGCCGGGGCCAGACTCTTTGCAGTGGTGCCCAGCGACAGGACAAGGGGCAACGGGCACAAACTGAAGCCGAGGAAGCTCCAGCTGAACCCGAGGAAGAACTTCTTCCCTCTAAGGGTGACGGAGCCCTGGCCCAGGCTGCCCAGAGGGGCTGGGGAGTCTCCTTCTCTGGAGATATTCAAGCCCCACCTGGCCGCAGTGCTGTGCAGCCTGCTGTGGGTGACCCTGCTTGGGCAGGGGGTTGGGCTGGGTGACCCCCAGAGGGCCCTTCCAACCCCCAACATTCTGGGATTCTGTGATTCTCTCTAGGCCTGCCTGCCAAGTCTGTCCCTCTGTAGCTCCAGCTACATTCGTCACATCTGTACTGGTGCAATCTCACAGACCTTGACTTCCACAAAGATTCAAACACAGCTGCGTAGACTCAGCAAAACTATTACAAGCAAGGGCTCATCACCCAAACTCTTGGCCCTGGGGAACAGAACACGCTGCAGTCTCAAACACCCCTGGAATTTACAGCAGCCCGGCTGATGAAAGGTGCTGCGGGGCCGTCCTGGAGGCCTAAGGGTTCTCGCACGGGCAGCAGCAGAGCACGTCTCGACTACCGTGCTGCCAATTCCATCCTAGGCGTTCCTTGGGGAATTCTGTGCGGTGCTGAGCAGAGCGTTAGGTGCTCAGATCCACTCAATCCAAGCCAGCTTTGCCAACAAAGGGCTTTCACGGCTGGTACCAGTTGAATTACTGGAAAGCAAACCACTCTGCATGAGGAACTGGGTCAAAACAGACCTGCTGGGCCTTGGCTGCAGCAGTGACAGCTCTGCGTGCAGATGGAGGAACTCCCATTGGCAGCTTTGGGTATTATTATATATAATTTTTTAACAGAGAAACTGAGAGTTAATAGTATTTTATTTCCTTAAAACACAGCAGATTTTCTCCCCAAAACCAGCACCTTGTTTTTCTGTAGCACGTTCAGAAGATCCTAAAATACCCTAACACAAGAAAATGGAAAGTAAAGAAAAATGTAACAATAATCAGCATGGAAAAAACAGCAAAGTTGCTGAGAAACGAATATGGGACCCCTAACAGAAAAACAGCACAGCTACAACTCCTCACCTGGAATCATAGCGCTGGAGACCCAGTGTGACAGTGTACGACACCACTCGCTTCCGATTGTAGAGGTTCACCCCGCTGTACTTCCCAGGGAGCCCAAACAACAGATCTGCAGAAACACAGTGTGACCAAAACATCAGGGAACAAAGAAATACCCAAAAATGATGGACAAGGGGAGGTTTTCATTGTGAAGAACGCTGAATGAGAACTATTGCTCTAAGAGGAAGCCCTCGCTCAGTGCTCTGGTGAGACTTTATTTCTAAATACCTGAGGCAGCGGAGTGAAGCAGACGGAGTGTCTCTTCTCAGCGGTGCCCAGCGCCAGGACAAGAGGCAGCGGGCACAAATTAAAACATGGGAAATTCCCTTTAAATACAGAAAGTTCTTCCTTCCTGTGGGGAAGTTATCTGCCCTCATCTTTTTCTTTCCGGAGCCGGCAGTCTGCAGCAGGCAAGGTCTGCGCTCTAATCCTAACCCATAAGCTCCCAACCAGCTCATCGCTCGCTCCTAAGCAAAGCTCCACACGTTCCTGCTGCTCTCTCCACAGAAAGGACAACTCCTCCTGCACCCACCCACGGCAGCACGCCCGCGCTGAGAGCTACCCCTGCATGCTGGGTGATGTCGTAGCCCTCCAGCTGCACACCCCTCGCACTCCTCCTGTTTGCTCCCCGCGCTGTGCGTGTTAGCGTAGAGGCACGGCAAGCGGGCACCTGATTTGTCCTTCAACAAAAGGGACAGACATTATTTTCCATCTGAACATGAGGAAGAACTTCTTCCCTCTGAGGGTGACGGAGCCCTGGCCCAGGCTGCCCAGAGGGGCTGGGGGGTGACAGAGCACTGGAACAGGCTGCCCAGGGAGGTTGTGGAGCCTCCTTCTCTGGAGATAGTCAAGCCCCGCCTGGACGAGGTCCTGTGCAGCCTGCTGTAGGTGACCCTGCTTCGGCAGGAGGATTGGACTGGATGACCCACAGAGGTCCCCTCCAACCCCCAACATTCTGTGATGCTGTGATTATCTTTCAGGATGCAGCCAAAGAAATCCTTGGACACTTGGTTCTGTGCATGTCGGCGTGTGATTTGAATCAGAGCTTCCAGCCAGACTTTGCACTGCAAAGAACTATTTGATGGCTCCTCTGTTAACCTTGTGCACGGAACACAGACTTCAAAAAATGATGCATCATGATGAACACTACCACCAGTTCTCAGGAACTCCAAGGATTTCGTGCATCTCTATCTTGCTTGAAAAGAAGCACTCAAAGAAAGGCTCCATATGCTCCAAAGCACAGCACGCACACGCTCCGGGCGCTCAGAAAATAACCCTTCAAACAAACTCACCGTGGGGTTACAGACCCCCTTTTCCGACACGTCGTACTACAGGCCTCCCCACACCTACAAAGCTCCTTTAAGAACAGGAACAGCATTTCATCTGCCCTTATGGAACTACTAAACCGTACCATCCCAGACATGGGCAGGCTTCTTTTTTTAAATTAAGAGAAACAACCGCTTTCCTGAGATCCAGGATGAACGCGGGGTGTATGTGAGCAACTCTCAGGGAATGCACAAGAGGGAGCAGGACGAACGCTCGTTTATCTGTGCCGATGAGGCAGGCTTTCAGTCAGACACACAACAGCACGAGGGAAAAAGATAGGCCAGAGCGTACGTAGAGTTAGAGGAACAAAAAGCCTCGGACAAGTCACCTGCTATTTTTACACCTATAGAAAGGAGGCTGATGGAGTGGAATTATTCACCTTCCACAACGACAGAGCTGAGTTCAAACACCGACACGAACTGAGCTACGACATATATTCGGTAGCTTCATTCCAGATGCCGTGAGTAACAAAATGCCACCCAGTTTTCCACCACTGGCAACCTACGTGTTGGAGAGACTGAGCACAAAATATCCAGGCGAGCTGCAGCGATTTGTCACGGCTTCTTCGGCACTTCAGCCCCTTACCTTTGAGCGTAGCTGACGTCTGTAACGTCTTTGGTTCATGCTGGTGGATGGTTTTGATGATATCTGGGTCAGCATTGAATCGCTCTCGGTCGTTCTGCCAGAAGTTCCCTGGAGACAGTAACAGACAGCCGTGTTCGGGGAGCAGATTCCGCAGCTTCTTGAGGCCGGGCAGAAGATCCGTTACCTGAAGGCAAACTTCCTCCAAGCTTTGGACGCCAGAACTGAAACGCAAACAAAGGTTAGACGCTGCCACGCAAACAAAAGGCAAAACTGCTGAGATAAATACCCCAAGGACCTGCAGCACCATGTTCCTGCTCTTAAGAACCAAGAGCCTCGGGCCGCAGACCAGGACCTCGCTGTGACACGCGTACATACTCCAGATCCCTATTCTCATTTCTCTGCATGCTGCCTGGCCACAGAGCTTTCGCCCTTCACCCTTCCTAGGTGCCACCATGCTCAGTTCCACGTTTGAGATACCTCCACTCTACAGAGAAACTGTCTCCCTAGGATTCTTCTTCAAAGACCTCAAGCCCCTCTGCGTACTTCTTTCCCCACACGCTGAACGGGACACTATACAGAAATCTTTCTTAGTGTTTCTAAAGTGAAGTATTTATGGTGTGCAGAGTGACATACAAACATTTCAGCACCTGCAACTGTGCAAAATGTTTTCGGAATTCCTCTGCACTGTAGAGAAAAGAAAACACTTACAGGTTCAGAAATTAAGAGAGGTGTAAATGGTAGGAAATGGAAACTGTGTTTGCTCCCGAACTTCGTTTTAACACAGTTAAGTAATCCTTCCAAACCAGTAACCCACGCCAGACTCCGCTTGGGCTGACAACAGGATGGGGCTGTGACGGTTTAGTGACAAAAGCTGTCAGCACGCTGTCCGGCTCGCCAAGGAAGAGCTGCTGGTCCGAAAGAGAACACTGCCCTCAACACGATACGGGCAACTGGTGGGATCGGCGCAGGAAGGGTGTATTTCAGAAAGGCCAGGTTAAGACACAAGAGACCAGTCCTCCCCAGCTCCAGCCTCACGGGTTACAGAGAAAGTGGCTCCAGGAGGCAAATCACTTAGGGTCCTACTGTACGATGTCTTCTCTAGGGGAGGTGTTTTCAGTAACGACTACAAAGAGCTAACATGGCAACCCACCGATGGCGATCTGAGTCAGCAAGTTTGCTGGTGACACAGAACTGGGAGGAGTGGTGGATCACAGAATCACAGAATCACAGAATAGTAGGGGTTGGAAGGGACCTCTGTGGGTCATCTAGTCCAACC